ACCGCACCATGCTTGGCCTAGCGCACGTTCTGCATATAAAACGGAAATTTGAACACTGAAAACGAGAAAAAGCAGTTGGCTTTGCTATGATCTGCACTGCTCACCCACCGAGATAAAAGGTACTGAGATGGCGGGATCAGTGAGGTTAACATGTTGATGTAAAGTCTCAGAAATCAGAAAGACTTTGGTATCCAATGATATTGCTTAAGTAAAATACCAATACACTCCATTTCAAGAGAAATCCTTTAATTAAAGAGGAATTGATAGCTAGTACTCACGATAACGATGTATCAAATGACGACATTCACAGCCGCTTGTTGTGACTCATTAACAATGAATTATCCCATAATCCCCAAGGGTTCAGAGAGCTTTTAATTGACATTCAGCTCGTTGTTTATCTGTCCGGGTCACAACTTTACTGTCTTAGTTCACGCTCAACAATTTCCTAGCACTGTTTTTGTCCCCACCAGGCAGTTGGTTTTAGAAAATAAGCTTTAAAAACCAAAACACTCCCCACCATGAAGCAGAAAGACACACTTTGCTACTAGCTGGTGAGCATAGTGGTTTATAAAGCAACTTAAGAGACAGATATTTACCTCAGTTGTTGCTCTGTTTCTTGTTTGTGTTTACATATTGTCACTGATATCAGGAGTGATAAGCGGATATATTCAATTAAATTCTACAACACGCCTGTTTACAATGTCCGACATGTCAGCTGTCGGATATATACAATTCTACCTTTGTTATATAATACCATCACTGTAAATATCTTTAACGATAGACAAAAAGAAAATGGGAAAGAGAGGTGATGACATGCCGCAAAGGTCCGTGAGTTAGATTTGAACCAAGGCCACTGCAGTAAGAACTCATATATAAACTTGGAGGTAGGGATGTCCCGATCACCTTTTTTTGCTCCCGATCCGATTCCGATCATTTGATTTTGACAATTTGCCGATACCGATTTTTCCCGATCCGATCTTTATGCAATGCATTAAGAGAAAAAAAAGAAAAAAAGCATTCAAATTGTCCCTTAAGTTTATTTTTTTATTTAAATTGGATATTCTATCCAACATGGATATAGCTTCTTTCTTTCACAGCAGCATTGGATCAAAACTAAATAAAGCTTTCAGTACTCGTTAGCTTACTGCTACAATTAGACACTGCGCCCTGCCCACTCTGTTGCCAGATTTGAGAGAAATAAGCAACCAGGTCTCTGAAAACAAGCCCCAAAGAAGCAACACATACATGATGTTCTGTCATTTGAAACCAAAACTAAGGCCTCAGGATGACTTTAAGACTTGAACATGGTCATTTTTGTTTTGTAACATTGAATACAACATTAAAAATAAAGTATTTAAAAAAATAAAAAATTTAAAATCCCGATCG